GGGATTGTTCACCTATTTAAAGGGATTGTTCACCTATTTAAAGGGAGTGTTCATCTATTTAAAGGGATGGTTCACCTATTTAAAGTGATCTTTTACATATTAAAAGGGAGTGTTCATCTATTTAAAGGGATGGTTCACCTATTTAAAGGAATTGTTCATCTATTTAAAGGGATAGTTCACCTATTTAATGGAATTGTTCTTCTATTTAAAGGGATTGTTTACCTATTTGAAGGGAGTGTTCATCTATTTAAAGGGAGTGTTCATCTGTTTAAAGGGATTGTTCACCTATTTAAAGAGATTGTTCACCTATTTAAAGGGAGTGTTTATCTATTTGAAGGGATTGTACACCTATTTAAAGGGATTGTTCACCTATTTAAAGGGATTGTACACCTATTTAAAGAGATGGTTCATCTATTTAAAGGGAGTGTTCACCTATTTAAAGGGAGTGTTCATCTATTTAAAGGGATGGTTCACCTATTTAAAGTGATATTTTACATATTAAAAGGGAGTGTTCATCTATTTAAAGGGATGGTTCACCTATTTAAAGTGATCTTTTACATATTAAAAGGGAGTGTTCATCTATTTAAAAGGATGGTTCACCTATTTAAAGGGTTTGTTCATCTATTTAAAGGGAGTTTTCACCTATTTAAAGGGATTGTACACCTATTTAAAGAGATGGTTCACCTATATAGAGGGATTGTTCACCTATTTAAAGGGATGGTTCATCTATTTAAAGAGATTGTTCATCTATTTAAAGAGATGGTTCATCTATCTAAAGAGATGGTTCATCTATTTAAAGAGATGGTTATTTAAAGAGATGGTTCATCTATTTAAAGAGATGGTTCATCTATCTAAAGAGATGGTTCAACTATTTAAAGAGATGGTTCATCTATCTAAAGAGATGGTTCATCTATTTTAAAGAGATGGTTCATCTATTTAAAGAGATGGTTCATCTATTTAAAGAGATGGTTCATCTATCTAAAGAGATGATTCATCTATTTAAAGAGATGGTTCATCTATCTAAAGAGATGGTTCATCTATTTTAAAGAGATGGTTCATCTATCTAAAGAGATGGTTCATCTATTTAAAGAGATTGTTCATCTATTTAAAGAGATGGTTCATCTATTTAAAGAGATGGTTCATCTATTTAAAGAGATGGTTCATCTATCTAAAGAGATGGTTCATCTATTTAAAGAGATGGTTCATCTATCTAAAGTGATGGTTCATCTATTTAAAGAGATTGTTCATCTATTTAAAGAGATGGTTCATCTATGAAAAGTGATGGTTCATCTATTTAAAGAGATGGTTCATCTATTTAAAGGGAGTGTTCATCTATTTAAAGAGATGATTCACATATTCAAAGAGATTGTTCACCTATTTAAAGGGATTGTTCACCTATTTAAAGGGATGGTTCACCTATTTAAAGGGAGTGTTCACATATTTAAAGGGATTGTTCTCCTATTTAAAGGGAGTGTTCGCCTATTTAAAGAGATGGTTCATCTATTTAAAGGGAGTGTACACCTATTTAAAGGGAGTGTACAACTATTTAAAGGGATTGTTCACCTATTTAAAGGGACTATTTACCTATTTAAGAGATGATTCACCTATAAATAATAACTGGACAAATGTACAACTATACAAATGTACAACTATTTAATTGTACAACTGTACTTCTGTACAGGTTTTTATTTTGAAAAGCTGTATAAATGTGCAATGCACAACTGTAAAAATGTACAAATGTACAACTGGACAACTGTACATCAGTACAACTTATCTATTTAAAGAGATGGTTCATCTATTTAAAGAGATGGTTCATCTATTTAAAGAGATGGTTCATCTATCTAAAGAGATGGTTCATCTATTTAAAGAGATGGTTCATCTATCTAAAGTGATGGTTCATCTATTTAAAGAGATTGTTCATCTATTTAAAGAGATGGTTCATCTATGAAAAGTGATGGTTCATCTATTTAAAGAGATGGTTCATCTATTTAAAGGGAGTGTTCATCTATTTAAAGAGATGATTCACATATTCAAAGAGATTGTTCACCTATTTAAAGGGATTGTTCACCTATTTAAAGGGATGGTTCACCTATTTAAAGGGAGTGTTCACATATTTAAAGGGATTGTTCTCCTATTTAAAGGGAGTGTTCGCCTATTTAAAGAGATGGTTCATCTATTTAAAGGGAGTGTACACCTATTTAAAGGGAGTGTACAACTATTTAAAGGGATTGTTCACCTATTTAAAGGGACTATTTACCTATTTAAGAGATGATTCACCTATAAATAATAACTGGACAAATGTACAACTATACAAATGTACAACTATTTAATTGTACAACTGTACTTCTGTACAGCTTTTTATTTTGAAAAGCTGTATAAATGTGCAATGCACAACTGTAAAAATGTACAAATGTACAACTGGACAACTGTACATCAGTACAACTATACATCTGTACAACTGTACATCTGTACAACTGTACATCTGTACAACTGTACAACTTTACAAATGTTCAGATGTACAACTGTACAACTGTACAACTGTACAACTGTACAACTGTACAACTGTACAATTGTACATCTGGAACGCTGTACAGTGTACAATGTTTCCACTGTTTCTATATCAGTGTTGGACAGATTGATTCAGATATAACAGATTAATTCGTAAATTTATTTATATATTTATTTATTGATTAATTGATTGTTAGATTGATATTATAGGTTGGGCAGATTGAGTCTGACTTAAAGAACAAGGCGGCCGCCTACAACGGGCTCAAGAGTAGTTTACAGAATATTGAGAAGAAACAAACTGGGTCCTTGGTGGCTCGCAATCTTGGAGATCTTGGTATTCATTCATTCACATCCTTTCATTCATCCTTTCATTCATCTTTTCATTCACCTATTCACTCATTCATTCATTCATTCATTCATTCATCCTTTCATCAATTTATCCTTTCATTCATTCTTTCTCTCATTCATTCTTTCAGTCTTTCATTCATCTTTTCAAATTTTAATTATGCTTTCATTCATCCTCTCATTCATCCTTGCATCCTTTCACTGGTCTTATTTCTTCCTTCTTTTATTCATTCATTCATTATAACCTTTCATTCATTTAACTTTTTACTTAGTTATGTGTTTTATTTTTATACATACTTATTAATTTATTCATTCATTCTCTCAATTTAAACTTATTCATTCTTATTTGAATCATTCATTCATCTATGTTTGACCTTTTTTTTAAACAATTTATTATTTTTGAATTTTTAATCTTATAAATTGGATACAGTTGATACAGACAAATTCTGATTTAATTCTTCTTCTTGTCATCGTTTCTCCCTTTTCTTTTCCTTCTGTTGACTGTCCCTAATTTTGATAATTTTGACAGAAAATAAAAATTTGTCAAAACCAGTATGTACTGGGACACTCTGCTCCTTTGTAGTTGTAGTAATTTTCAGTTTTATTGCCTAACTCAAGAATGCTTGACTAGACAAAAGGATTGAAGGTTGATGCAGTGCTGTTTCAGCTTCAACCCATACTTTCCCAAATGATTTCTCCATTCACTAACGGAACAAAATTGATGGTGTAGAGCTTATCATCGGAGAGTTCCCTACCATTTTCCTGTTCAATTTTCTTTTTTCTTCTTGTTTCTTGTTTGTAGGTTTCTGCAATTTTACTTTGAGTTGCATGAAATCAATTCCAAATGCTGCTTGTGACAAATAGGTAGGGGTGAGTTGTAGGAATTGGATGTAGGTCAGGAAGGGAGGGTATATGGTTGAACTTTATTTTATGATTTAATTTTTTTAATCAATTAACTCATTGTTTTGTTTATTTAGTGAAAAAGGAACACTTTGTGCTTGACTCTGAGTATTTAACAACCCTACTTGTTGTTGTTCCTCTCTCTACCATCAATGATTGGAACCTTAAGTACGAAAAGCTCACTGATATGGTGGTTCCCAGGTAGTGCTTTTACTGACATCTAGCATGGTGGGAAAATTTGCATTTCATTAAATGCATTCACTGACATCTACTGGGGAAACTATTCAGTATGTTTAATGACATCTAGTGGAAAAACTTTGCACTTTTATTTAATGTATTTACTGACATCTATTGGGGAAGCTATTCAGTGCTGTTAATGACATCTATCGGGAAAACTTTTCACTTTTTATTAAATGCATTCACTGACATCTATTGAGGAATCCATACAGACCTCCAGTGGAAACCTTAACATTTAAACTAATGCAATCCGACATCTGTTGAGGTGCTCAGTGCTTTTAATTACATCTAGTGGGAAAACTTTACATTGTATTCAATACATTTACTGACATCTATCGGAATAACATGGCATTAAATAAAATATATCTTATTTATTAAATTAAATGCGTTTATTGCATTTGTGGAAAACCTTGATATTTGGCTAATTTGTTAAAAGCTTTTCAAGTTTTATTACTATCAAATTACACTTGCAAGATTTTGAAGAATCAACATTCTATCACTTTTGGGGTATTTGAGTCTGACTTGAAGAACAAGGCGGCCGCCTACAACGGGCTCAAGAGTAGTTTACAGAATATTGAAAAGATACAAACTGGGTCCTTGGTGGCTCGTAATCTTGGAGATCTTGGTATTCATTCATTAATCCTTTCATTCATCTTTTCATAATATATGGGATATATTTTTCTCATTGAATCTTAAAGTTTTAGAATTTATTAAAAATATCTCTGCTTGTATTTTCTGGAAAAAAGTCCATACGAATTTAAGCTATTGTCACTCCCCCTAGGTCCTCACAGCTGGTGTACCAGGATAATGACCACGCCCTAGTCACCGTCTCTCTGTTCATCAAGGTGGTCGACGAGTTCAAGAACAAGGCTAGGGAGTGCAGGTTCCTTGTCAGGTAGTTCAGATACCCCTTTTTATCATTCTTTCCTTCTGTTGTTCCAACATTAAGACTCAAGACTAAACAACCTCAAGACAATAAAGTATTTTTCGACGATGTCTAATGACAAACCTAGGAAAAAAGGTGTTGACTTTGGATATAAAAAACGAAACTTTATTTACCCTAGGGATATAAAATGTGAAACTTGATCTACCCTTGCGATATTAAATGTGAAACATTAACTACCCTTGGGATATAAAATGTGAAACTTGATCTACCCTGGGGATATAAAATGTGAAACTTTAACTACCCTAGGTAAATAAAATGAGAAACTTTATCTACCCTAGAGATATAAAATGCGAGACTTTAACTACCCTAAGGTTATAAAATGTAAAACTTTATCTACTCTAGGGATATAAATATGAAACTTCGATGCAACCCTAGAGATGTAAAATGTAAAAACTTTAACTACCCTAGGGAAATAAAATGAGAAACTTTATCTACCCTAGGGATATAAAATGAGAAACTTTATCTTCCCTAGGGACTTCTCATACAATGATGAAGAGCTTAAAGCTGGAAAAACTGAGCTGACTAAACTTCACACAGACAAGAAGAAACAGTTTGGACCTCTGGTTCGATGGTTAAAGGTAAAATCATGAAATATAATAATTGAACTCTAACACCTTCCATTAGTCATCTATGGTGAATATATGAAAAATTTTATTCATGAATCAATATTTATAAATAGTTTAAAAAGTTGTCGTTGCTGTTTTATCTTTTATGATTTTTAGTCGCAATTTTTTATTTTATGAAGTTCCATTTTTATTTTTATTTCTTTGATAAAATTTCCTCTGTGGGGTTTCTCGAATAATCTGAATTAAAAACTTAAAAGTAATTCTTTTCATATTTTATATGTTTTCTTCGTTTTAGGTAAACTTTGGTGAGTGCTTCACTGCCTGGATTCATGTGAAGGCACTTCGTGTTTTCGTAGAGTCAGTTCTCAGGTTTACATACATTTAATAATCTATATATATATTTTGCTAAACTTTTTCTGTTTGTCTGTCTGTTTGTATCCAATAAACGTCAAAACGGCTGAACCTATCTGGCCCAAATTTTGTGTAGGACCTCGCATGACATGGAAATGGTTTATGAGTGATCAAAATTTTAAAAATTAGCCTCCAACAAAATTCGATTTTCATTAAATTTTGAAAATCCACGTAATTTTTTTTCATAAAATCCGTGAACATTTTTTTAATTGTTATATTATGTTTACAAAGAGAAAAAGTTTTAAATTGAAATGGAAGATGCTTCGTTCTCTGAGAGCCTAGTTTAATAATTATAAATTTTGTATAAGGAAATAATAGATATTTTCGGTTGATGCTTCATTCTACTGTTTCTTTATCTTTAAATAAAAAAACACCCACCTTACCTCACCGCCGCTTGTCCTTGGAATGAGATTAGAGATGGGTTCAGTTAACGCAATTAAAAGTAGAGAATAAGTAAAGTACAAGTTAAGTACTTATTAGTACAGTACACTATTGATGATTTAAATCCATAAAATAAAAACAGCTGAAATCAGCTAATCAGTCAGTATGTATCAGTCAATCAATTTTTAATAATATCAATCAGACCATCAATCAATTAATCAATCAATTTAATTCAATGAATCAATCAATTTTCTTTTAGATTTGGATTACCGGTTAATTTCCAGGGAATGCTTCTTCTTCCTCAGAAGAAACAAATGAAGAAACTCAGGAAAATGTTCTTAGAATATTATACTGGTGTGGACACCTATTATTAATTACTAGTAGAGACAATCTACACAAATATATTGGAACTATCAATTACTAGTAAAAACATCTACACATTGATATTGGAACTATTGATTAGTTAGTAGAGATACCTACAAAATGATATTGGAACTGTTAACTATTAGTAGAGTCATCTACACAATGATATTGGAACTACTAATTAATAGAAGAAACATCTACACATTGATATTGGAACTATTAATTACTAGTAGAAACATCTACACATTGATATTGGAACTATTAATTAGTTAGTAGAGAAATCTATACGATGATATTGGAACTATTAATTACTAGTAGAGACATCAATACAATGATATTGGAACTATTAATTACTAGTAGAGACACCAATACAATGATATTGGAACTATTAATTACTAGTAGAGACACCAATACAATGATATTGGAACTATTAATTACTTGTAGAGACATCTGTACAATGATATTGGAACTATTAATTACTAGTAGAGACACCAATACAATGATATTGGAACTATTAATTACTAGTAGAGACACCAATACAATGATATTGGAACTATTAATTACTAGTAGAGACACCAATACAATGATATTGGAACTATTAATTACTAGTAGAGACACCAATAAAATGATATTGGAACTATTAATTACTAGTAGAGACTCCAATACAAAGATATTGGAACTATTAATTACAAGTAGAGACACCAATACAATGATATTGGAACTATTAATTACTTGTAGAGACACCATTGCAATTATATTTATTATTATTAATTACTAGTAGAGACATCTTTGTAATGATATTGGAACTACTAATTCACTGCGGTGTTTTATTATCTATTTAACTGAGAATATTATTAGAGAGGTTCTCAACGATCTGTATCTACATCTAGACACAGCAGGGACAATTGGAGGTAATACTTCAAAACTATAATATTTAACGTTTTTTTATTATCAGTTTCCACTTTACTGTTATTGTACTGTGCTGTACTGTACTGTATTATGCTGCACTGTACTGTACTGTACTGTACTGTACTGTACTGTACTGTACTGTACTGTACTGTACTGTACTGTACTGTACTGAACTGTACTGTACTGAACTGTACTGCACTGCACTGCACTGCACTGTACTGTACTGTACTATACTGCACTGCACTGTACTGTACTGCACTGCACTGTACTGTACTGTACTATACTGCACTGCACTGTACTGTATGTACTGTACTGTACTGTACTGTACTGTACTGTACTGTACTGTATTGTACTGTATTGTACTGTACTGTAATTACCTATATATACTATGATATGCACTATATATTCTACTGTACTGCACTACATCTACTTTTTTACTGCATATATTCAGGATCTGAAGATATCCCAACAGGACTGGGTCTGGGACAGGGAGAGTACTACCCCTACGTCTACTACAAGATGAACATTGATATGATCGCAACAACTTCAGTTCTCAATTAATCGAAAAAAAATCGTTTTCCTTGTCTAATTAGGGACGGGTATCGTTATTTTGCGAGATTTTAAATTTTAAAATTTTTTAATGTCTGATTTTATTACATTACAAAGCAAACTTAGACCGTAACAACAATTGATATGTTTTAAAAACATCAGATTCTTGGAGTTTAAATTTTAAAAACTAAGCTGACAACGATACCACTCTTATCTCTTTCTGTTAAGTGTGTATTTGAGGGAGATTTTAATTGTTTAATTCGTCCTTCTTATGTAAAGTTTCGCGGATTTTTAAATCTAGTTTTTCCCTCATTTTCCGATCTGACTCGATGCGTTAGAGAAATTAAATATTTATTATTTATGAATGTTGATAGAATAAAGCTGGTTTATCATTTTATTGAAAATCTTAATTTTATATTTTATTATTTATTTGTGCAGAAAAGTGAAGGTTTTCAAAACAATTTTTTAAGCCCTTGATAATTAGTTTAGTTTGTCATTTTCTATAATTTAACTTTTTGATTGTAACTAGTCGACCTGAAAAGTGTTAATTTTTTCTGTGCATTTTCAATTGTGATTTTAATACACTCATGGGCATCAAACTGTACATGGAGTTTATCTTGGTCCTGCTTCATCTCTGTTTGTTTACAGATAGTGCAGTACACTTTACACAGTAGTACATAAACATAATGAGTTCAGACAAGATCAACGTTTTTCCCTCCAGAGGTGCACAGACCACGATGAAGGGTCGACTGAAGGTCATTTTTTAACTATTTGCGCATTTTTCTTTTGTTTTCTTATTTTTACAAATATTTTCAGAAACCAGGTTTATAGTCAGCTAGAAGTAGTTGAACCGGTAGACAAAGTTGAACCAGTTCAAGTGCTCCCGGTTCTACCACTTATTGCTTTTGATTTAATCCGGTTCCAATACTTACTATTCAAATTATTTCATTCCTATGTAGTTTTATTGTCATTTCTGTCCCAAAGAAAGGAATAAAAATGATTATTTATGATTATTTTGCAAATTTGCAAGACTCGCTAGTCGCTAAGTTTCTTAAACATATACATAGTTTACAATAGATAATGATTATAGGGTGCACAGAAAGGCCATAGCTTACTGAAGAAGAAGGCTGATGCTCTGCAAATGAAGTTTAGAAGTATTCTCAAGAAGATCATTGACACCAAGCAGACCATGGGCGAGATCATGAAGGTTTATTCATTTGTTCATTTGTTCATTTATTTGTCATTTGTTCCATTTATTCATTGGTTCATTGATTCATTGATTCATTGGTTCATTGGTTCATTGATTCATTGATTCATTGATTCATTGATTCATTGATTCATTGACTCATTGACTCTTACTCACCTACCTACCTACCTAGGAAGCCTCCTTCTCTCTAGCTGAAGCAAAGTTTGCATCTGGTGATTTCAACCATGCTGTACTGCAGAATGTAAACAAAGCACAGATAAAGATCAAAACAAGGAATGCATAATCTTCAAACTAAATAGAAAATGTTTGTAAAATTCACCTTCCTCATATGCAGGGGGATATGAGTTTTTGAAAAATCATTACCCTCCATACCTTAATTTCCCCCCTCCCCCCCCCTTTTGAACAGAAGTTTTAATTACAAGAGAAATCTAATTTTTTCTTTTTACACCTGTATGCCTAGGCTGAATTTAACACTGATTTTGACATTGATGACCCTTTTTGACATTGCTGATCACTTTGACATTGCTGACCGCTTTGACATTGCTGACTGCTTTGACATTGCTGACTGCGTTGACATTGCTGACCGCTTTGACATTGCTGACTGCTTAGACATTGCTGACTGCTTTGACATTGCTGACTGCTCTGACATTGCTGAACGCTTTGACATTGCTGACAGCTTTGACATTGCTGACCACTTTGACATTGCTGACCACTTTGACATCGCAGACCGCTTTGACATTGCTGACTGCTTTGACATTGCTGACTGCGTTGACATTGCTGACTACTTTAAAATTGCAGACTGCTTTGACATTGATGACTGCTTTGACATTGCTGACTGCTTTGACATTGCTGACCACTTTTATATTGCTGACCGCTTTAACATTGCGGACCGCTTTGACATTGCTGACTGCTTTGACATTGCTGACTGCTTTGACATTGCTGACCGGTTTGACATTGCTGACTGCTTTGACATTGCTGACTCCTTTGACATTGCTGACTGCTTTGACATTGCTGACTGCTTTGACATTGCTGACCGCTTTGACATTGCTGACTGCTTTGACATTGCTGACTCCTTTGACATTGCTGACCGGTTTGACATTGCAGACTGCTTTGACATTGCTGACTCCTTTGACATTGCTGACTCCTTTGACATTGCTGACTGCTCTGACATTGCTGACTCCTTTGACATTGCTGACTGCTTTGACATTGCTGACTGCTTTGACATTGCTGACCGCTTTGACATTGCTGACCGCTTTGACATTGCTGACCGGTTTGACATTGCTGACCGTTTTGACATTGCAGACTGCTTTGAAATTGCTGACCACTTTATATATTATGTATTTGATTATGCTCTAACAGGAAGGACAATGTTGCTGGGGTGAATCTCCCAGTATTTGAGGCCTATCAGGTATTTGTTATGATTAAAGGTTACAGCCGGGACACTTTCTTGCCCCTCCTCATTATTCATTATTGCATTATACAGAGTAAAATTCTTATCCCTGTAACAAATCTAGACGCGATTACTATACTCAAAGTCTAATAAAGAACACACTTATCTCTATCTCTAGCCAACTCTCAAGGCTCTCTATTCTCAGCCAAACTCTAGGCTCTATATACGTCTGTATAAATCAAAGAATACTATTGAACTAATTTTATTTATATACAGGTGGATAAACTGACCGGGCTATCCCGGCAGGGTCAACGAACAGATAATTAAGATATTTACAGATAACATAGATAGCATTATACTTGATACAGAAT